TTTGGAACTGCACCAGAAGGTGACTATCTCTGGACTAGATCAGACGGAAAGCTCTTTAATCTCTCTAGATTGAGAGCAAAGACCAAAGTCCAACTGAAATGCATGCGGGACTTCCTTTTCGCCAATGATGCAGCCGTTGTTGCCCACTCTGCTGAAGAGCTCCAACAACTTATGAATCGTTTTATTCTGGCCTGCCAAGACTTTGGATTAATAATCAGCCTGAAGAAAACCCAAGTCATGCGCCAGGGTGTGGATTCACGTCCCTCTATTACCATCTCCACATAAGAATTGGAGGTTGTTCATGACTTTGTGTACCTTGGCTCAACGATCTTGGACACTCTCTCCCTAGATGTCGAGCAGGATAGACGCATTGGCAAAGCAGCTACCATGTTCTCTAGACTTACAAAGAGAGTATGGCTTAATAAGAAGTTGATGGCGCATACCAAGATCCAGGTCTATAGAGCCTGTGTCCTGAGCACACTCCTGTACTGCAGTGAGTCCTGGACCCTTTGTGCATGGCAGGAGAGGAAACACATTCCATATGCGTTGTCTCGGATGCATTTTTGGTATCACCTGGCAGGACAAATAGAGTAGTCCTAGATCAAGCTGGAATTTATAGCATGTATACATTACTGAAACAGCAACGTCTACGTTGGCTTAGGCATATTGTGAGAATGGCTAATGGTTGGAATCCAAAAGATCTCCTGTATGGAGAATTAGTGCAGGGAAATTGCCCCAGAGGGAGACCACAGCTGCAATACAAGGATATCTGCAAAGTGGATCTGAAGGCTCTAGGAATGGACCTCAACATCTGAGTGTTCAGCCTGGAAGCAGGCGGTGCATCATGGCCCCTCCCATATTGAAGAGATGCTTGTTGAACAGGCCGAGGCAAAAAGGCAATCCCAAAACCAGCCAAATCAGGGAGCTGGACAGGGGACAGATTGTATTTGTCTTCAGCGTAGAAGGGATTGTCACTCTCAAATTGGCCTCCTCAGCCACACTAGATGCTGTTCCAAGTCCTCTATTCAGAGCACATTACCATAGTCTCTCGAGACTGAAGGATGCCTAATCTATATTTTCTTTATGGAGGGAAGAAAAACATTAATGTCCTAGTAGCTGTAGTGCCTGGAACAATGAAGCTATCTTGGTCAAAGTGCTTTTATAAAGTTCACAGTAATGGGATTGCAGCTCTATCTTATTTTTAAAATAAACAAACAAGTTCCTTGATTGTAATTAATACATTGAAAAAGATATCATAATGAATAGTTTTTTAAATAGGGTAGTTTACAACAAGCTTATATTCTTTCTCCTTTAATAGTCTCCTAGTACATCACTATTAACCTACAGAATTGGAGGGCAGCAGCATTTATCTAAAAAATCCCAGGATATATCCCACAGTTGGTCTGATGAGTCTTTATCCATGACTCAATCAGGTAAGTGTTGGGAATTAAGATTATTATATTTGTATCTCAACATTGATCAGTCAAACTCAACTTTTGGGGAGTAAATCACACTCTTTATTTTCCTCTAAAAATAATGTACAGTTTCTAAAACATATATTGATGAATAACAGAGATAGTTGCACTTAGGGCTTGTCTGCACAAGCAGTGGGCTGGAGTGAGCTAAATAAGATTTTCTAGGAGGTCCAGTATGCCATTTGGTATGATCTTGTCAGCAAATGGAATACAGACCTTAGGCAAGTCTTAGGGAGAGAGCCACTTCATGATATTTGCAAATTAAGCACTTCCTTGACAGTGTCAGTGGCTGAGGAAGTGAAAGAATTTTTTTAAATTTTCCACTGTTTTGGGGCAGTGTGTATGTGCTGCATCACTTTAAAAATAATAATAAAATCCAAATGGAAAACTTCCCAGGAGCAGGAAAAGACAGAAGAGGGCAATGATTGTTTGTTTTTCTCTTAAAGATCTAGGTAAGAGCCACTGTCCTAATGCACTTAATTATTTTCACTTCCTTGGCCCTCCATAGAACCATCCTGAAAGTGGCTCACTTCTCAAAATACTTTATACAGGAAGGCCTGCTTTGGGTTCATTTCTAGCAATCATGTAAGCTCAAAATGAACCAAAACAGAGTGATCCTACTTAAACCAAAAAAAGTAGAAGCCCCCGACAGAGGCCAGGAAAGTGCAGGTAAGGTTGATTGCTCTGTAGGTAGATTGGTTTGCTCCAGCAAAGATATTGTTTTATTTCCATATTTAGGAGCCTATCCTTGCAGTGGGTTAAATGCCCATGTAGTTGTCCTTTTAAGGTGTTTGTGCAATACATTAAGTAGCAGTTTCTCTGCCTTCCTTTTTTAGGTGATGGATACATCATTACAGCTCTGTTGAAATGATGTAGGTATAAAGGTATAAACATAAGAGACATGATCTTGCCTCAGATATAATACAAAGAAAAGAGAGGAACTGGAAAAGCAAGGAAACAGCTCATCAGCGTAGGGAACACACAGTGGCCAAAATGTTTTTGCTTAGCATAGTAAGTCATACCAGAATAGGTCCTTTGAATCAATGGGGCTTTGGTGAGTCAACTCCTCCTTAGGTTTCATTGATTCAAATGGGCCTACTTTAACTGTGACTTTCTTTAGCATCATTGTATGGAAGAGTTGCATATTTAAAAAGTAAATTGTATGAGATGCACTGTAGATAGCTGGCTTTTTTGTATGCAGATATCCATTTTCTCTTAAAGTATTAAACTGTGCCTTGTCAGAAACAACATCTGATCAAAGTGATATTGAAAGCCGAATCCGGGCTCTGAAGGATGAGTTACAAAAGAGAAAATCTGTTGTTTACCAGCTGAAAAAGGAACAAAAGAAAAGGCACAAGGAGAGGCTGAAAGCCCAGGAGGCTAGTTTGATCAAACAGCTAGAGGTAAGAGTTACTTAGAAGAGGGATTTTAAAAAAGTTTACTTCAAAGAGAAATTTGTTTCTCTCCTGTCTTCTTTGCAGCAATATGTTAATATTTGTGAATTCATTTTAAAATCCATGCTACAATGATGGATTTTCACAAAATTTTATGATAGTTTGTTTTCTTCCTGCTGTGCAGGAGGCTAGCTTAGCATGAGTAAGTTCCTCCTACTCTTTCTGGAGGCAGGACAAATATGTCAACTAGTTTGAATGATCTTGTCCTAACTTGAGAGTGCATCCTCTGAATCTGGTCTTGCCAGGAGTACAGGTTTCTTGAGTGAGTTCCACTCCTCTTTAATTTTCTGGCCTGGATTTTTAGCTATTTGGTCTTCTTGCCTTTCCCTGAGAGAGATGGCTTTACGAGACAATCCTGAGCTGTCTTTGGATACATCAGAAGACTTGTTGGACTATGGTAGCAGGCAACAGTGGGTCTTCTCTCAAGTTGTTGAAGCCATAGGTGTCATTCCTGCCCATTTGGGTGAGGATACCCCTGAGTTACTGGTTACAATGGCAGGTTGCCTTGTCTTTCCTGAATATCCTCAGGAGTAGAGCTTGACATCTCCAGGGGCCTGCCTGTCTAGGCTCAGCAGTTTACTTGGATACTTCTGCTGTAGTGAGTGGGGGGAGCTTCTCTTACAACCCTGATCCCCATCCATTAATGATTGATTGATTGATTGTTCAACTCTGTCCAACAACAGCAATAACTACAGTAGGGTAGCTGTGGGAGGCAGGCTTCTTTTGTTCACTCACAAATGGCAAACAATAACTTTGGACATATAAATGCTTCCGATGGTATTCTGGGGTTATCTGATAGAGTTTTCCCACCTTCCACCAGATCGTTTGGTATCATTTCTTCAAGCCAGATGCCAGGAAAAGCACCTTGCTGTTTTAAAAGCCATAGATAACCTACTGGATATACAGGCAATAGAGTTAGTATCATTGTCAGAAAAGGTTTGTAGGCTTTCACCTGATACTCTTTCTGTTACCCAAGAAGAGCAACGACTAGATTTCAAGAGAGTGAAGCAGTTTATAAAGAATATTTCATATGGAAACTTTAAAAAGAATTTCAGAAAATGTTCAGCAAGGAAGTTTCTAGTATCTCAAGATTTGACAAAAGTGCATCATCATGTGCCAATACACCCCTCCCACCAGCAGTTTCTAAGATTCAAGTATCAGGGTCTTCACTTACAGTACTGGCCTCTCCCCTTCACACTGTCACATTCCCCCAGAGTGTTTGCCAAGGTACTTGCAGCAGCTGTTGCACAACTGATGGATTTCAAAGAGCATTTTTATCCATACCAGGATGACCTTCTAATAAGATCAGAGAGTCATCTGGATCTCCAGCAGACAATTTCTTTTCTCTTGGATTTAGGCTTTCTTATGAACATGCAAAAAAGTCACTTATTGCTGATGCAGATAATTCGGCACTGTAGGGACACTGTACTAGTGGAGGTCTTCCTTCCACAGGAAAGGAAGTCCAAAATTCAGAAGGCAGTCAAGTCAGTGTCAAGGTTGCTCATAAAGGAGATGAAACTTCTTTCCCAGGCACTGAAAAATCTGTTATCCATAACTGTAGTCAGCATGAAAGGAATGCTCAGTGTACAGGCAGATTGGCTGAGTTGAACAGATATGGACCTTTTTCAGCAAGAATGGGAGTTCCAGTAGTAGATCTGTTTGCCTCTCCCCAGAACTTCAAGGTTCAGAGATTCATTGCCTGATTTCATACCCTAGGGGTATGGAAAGTGGATGCTCCTTGGCCTGGGGTCTGTGTTATGGCTTTCCTCCCATTTGTTGCCTATCTGGGATACTGAGGCAGGCTTAAGCAGAAAAACAGAGCTGATATTGATAGCCTCTCACTGACTCTGGAGACCTTGTTACTCAGAACTAATTGACCTTGCAGTGCAAAATCCTTGGCAACTTCCACCTGCAAAAGTTGCCTTTGGAGGGAGGAGAGGTCTTACAGAGAATTGTGTCTCAAGGGAGCATTCCCCCCCCCCAATCATTGCCTTACAGGGACAAATAGCTTAGGTATGTACCATGCTAGACTGCTCTTCCACAGTGGAGGAAAAAGGGAGGTTGGACTTAAATGTGAAACATCCTTTTCCAAGTGAGAGTAGTCTAGCCCCAACCATATAAATTTGGTTTTTCTTTGTTTCACCCTTGCTTTCTTTAAGTTTGCAAATTTATGATATTGCTATAAGTGAGCATACATTGCTCTACTGGTAGTAATTGGAAATTTTCTTCAGTGGAGATAGGTTCCCATAACTGGGAGAGTCAAGCAAATGTAACTCAAAGTAACTGAAATATTAGTCCTGCTTGGACTAATAGGGGGGAGGAGGGTACCTGCGCTAAGAATCCCTTATTCCACTGCAGAAAAGGAAATGTCATAGTAAGTTCAGCTTTCCTTTTTCTTTGAGCCTGGATGGCAGAATAATGGTGATAGCAAAAAGTACTGAAAATAAAATTACCCACTATGCATGTACCTTTGGTAATAAGCACAAATCTCAGAAATCTCTTTGCTTTAAAGTGGAATCTAGATATTCGGTAAGACTGTGTAAGTAAGTATAGTTAGACCAAGGGATTTTCACAGGAGTGCCATTCTCCACTTACATCCTTGTTGACTGATTTTCAAAGTGAGAAATTCTAACAGATTCTTTCTAATCTTTTCCATACATCATTAGACTTATGATGAATTCATCAAAAAGACTGAAGCAGAATTGAATCGGGATTTGGAGGCAACACTTACAGCTAAACCTCAAATTAAAGCTCCGTCTTCAGCTATTGAAAAGCCAAAGATCAAACCACTTCCAATCCATAGGTAATATAGCTAATATGCTTAAAGTTATCTGGCACTGATGCCTTTCTAGATGTATGCTATCTAGAGATGCTGGCACAATCAGCCAGCTTGATGAACACCCACCCCCAGACCCCGCCGGACCACTTACCATACGGCGTGCATGACCAGCATAATCTTCTGTGCCCCAATCATGGCAGTAACTCGGCTGCTACAGCCCCGCCTCCCTGCTTGCCCAACCACAGAAGATGACCTTTGCCAGCAGACTTCATATTTGTATACAAATATGAAGCCCCTATCTCTAATGCCATCATCTGTCTAGAAGGGGTGTCTTCCTGGGAAAAGATATCTTGTATGTATACAGACTTAATATTTGCTTTTTATCTGATACTAAAACAGAGATCAAGATGTAATGTAAAATTAATTTTAGTAAGTTATTAGAAAGCAAGACTTACTTTAATGTGTATTGGCAAGAATTATGTTTATTCAAGCTATATTTCAGAACAAAGTATTTTCAGCATTTTTACCCCCTTTGGCCAAATAAAGAAATTTTGGAAGTAAAGCGTAAAGCAGTATCTCAAGAAATGAAAGCAAATACTACAAGCAGCAAAGGTCAGATTCATATTTTCACACCCTGCTGGAAAAGAAACCTTGACAATGGGATCAGTTGAACTTCTTGCTTTCACAGAATATTCCAGACTTCGTGGCAACACAAAAAAAACCCCCAGGCTTTTATGCTGTACCTTCTATAATTTAAATAAATGGGACATGGAGTAGAGTCTTAGAAGGGTTGGGCAAATTCATGTGGGTAGTAGCAGTTTTTAACAAGTCTGGATGCAAACTACTTACATATTCTTAAGATGGAAACCAAAACACTACATTGAATCCAGACACAAGTCAATAACCAGTATTGATTATATAAATCAGGAAAATGACAGTAAGCATTCTGGCAGCCACTTTATAGGCTAGTTGCCTTCAAAGGCCCCTACATAGTAGTGTGCTATGGCAATCCAACCTACAGTTGCCTGCAGTATGAATGGCTGTGGCCTTGATCTGACTTCCTGTGGGAAAGGAGCAATGGGTATATTGTCCAGAACAAATACGTAAAGGTCATGTCTGGACACATGCTACCATCCAGAAGCAAGACAGAGTTTTGGGGCACCATTCATGACAAACCTGATTGCAGTACTAGTATGCAACCACATCCAAAACCATTTGAACTAAATCACCAGAATCCTACTCTGGGTTATCTGCACATGTACACAGCTTCTATTCTAGAGCTTCTGCGACCAGAAAAAGACACATTAGTACAAGCCCCTCTCCCTGGTATGTGTACTTTGGCACCAAGGCTCTCCCTTCAGTTTCTCTTCAGCCGCCATGTTGAGAGCCTCATTATTTCCTGAAGAACTGACAACCTCTACCAGGTCCATGATCCTGATGCTATTTTTCTACAGAAGCAGCCTGTCCCTAACTAAATTTTTCTCGAGCTTTCATAATCTCATTCTCGACATGAACAAAACCTTATTCCACCTAACAAGGACAGTCAACGCATTGACTCCATAGGCTTCTGGCTCTATTCCTCTGCAGCCTTTACAATGTAAGTTGCTAACTATCAAGGGGCTATGGGTGCATCTCAGTGCTTCTTATGGGACAACATGTCTCCCTTAATCAAAGCACTGCCTAATGATAAGAGGATCCTGGCACAAACTTTGCAGCAAGAAGGCCTCTCTGTGGCAAAACAACAAGATGCTTGCAGCATGCCACACTGTCATAGAATCATAGAAAAGTGAACTTGGAAGGGACCTACAAGGCCATCAAGTCCCCCCCCCGCTCAAGGCAGGAATACAATCAAAACATATCTGCCAGGTGATTATATAAGTTTTTGTTGAATGCTTCCAGGGTTGGAGGACTCACCAACTCCTGAGGTAACTGGTTCCACTGTTGTACTGCTCTAACAGTTAGGATGTTTTTCCTGATATTCAACCAAAATCTGGCTTCCTTTAACTTGAGCCCATTGTTGTGTGTCCTGCATCGTGGGATGACTGAGAACAGATCTTGCCCTTAGTTTCTTTCTCCACCTTTTGTAGGAGAAAATTATCAGCCACACAAGCCAGAAATTTCTTGGAAGGACCAAACTTGGCAGAATTTGTCTCCCAACATATATCTGGATAACTGAAATCTCCCATTTCTTTGAAAACCCTGCAATTTGTTTTTCAAAAGTTTCGTCCGCTTCCTCTCTTTGATTGGGTGGTCATTAGTAGACTCCAACTACCAAGTTCCTTTTGTTTTTTGCCCCAGCTAGATTGATCTAGATGCTCTCGATGGGACAGCCACTCTCCTCCTGTGTTTCTTTGCAGGAATGTGTATTTTTGGCACATACTGCAACTCCACCTCCCTTTTTATTCTCTCTGTCCTTTTTGATCAGTTTATATCCCTGTCGATGCCATCTCTGAATCTGTGGTCACCTCCCTCGCACGCCACAGCAGGCCTGGTGGAAGATGTTCATACCCACATCAAAGACCTTCACTTTGATGGTGTTGGTTTGTTCAGTGCTGAAAGGGACTATATTCTTGAAAATGTACAAAAGAAGCTTCCAGTGCCTTCATCCCTCATGTGCCCATGCCTGCATTGATGGTGCAACATGTTCTGGGTATGATGGCCTTGATGAAGGGTGGTACTCATTCCCCAGGCCTCCTATACCTCACCGTGGAGGTGAGTGGTGCCTCTCTCACCACATCTGCCTCACCACAGTCCATGTAACCAGCCAAGACAACAACCTTGCAGATCTACTTAGCCACAAGGAACACCAAGGTCATGAATGGGAGCTAGACCAAACAGTTTTGGACCGTCTGCATTCATTGGGAGACACCCAAGATAGACCTCTACTTGTCCAGAACAAACCGAAAATATAGATACAGGTGTTGGCAAGAACTCCCTTGGCAATGCCTTCATCAGACATTGTCCTAAGATACTCGCTTACCTGTTTAACTGTTCCTGCTCCTCCACAAAGTGGCTGGGACAAGGCCAGTGCCATTTTAGTAGCTCCATGGTGGCTACGTCAGCCTTGGCTCTTGACTCTGTGTCAGCTCTCCTCCAAAGTCGTCCACCTTCCTTGCCTCCCTCACCTACTCACCCAAAACAGGGCTCAGATCCTCCAACCAGATCTTCCAGCACTTCATCTTGCGGTGTGGATGATTCCGCTTCTTTGATGAATGTCCTCTATCAGGCCAGTAAGCCCTCCAGCAGGCAGGCCTACCTTTACAAGCGGAAAAAGTTTCAGTCCTTCACTTTTTCAATAGCCTGGTCACTGACTAATCCTTCTCTTCAGACAGTTTTACGTTTCCTTCTCCACCTTAAGTGCCAATGACTCTCTATGTCATTGCTCAGGGTATATCTCTCTGCTATTGTTGTACACCAATTGCCAACCTCTTCAGCCTCTCAATTTTTCAAGAATCCAACCCTCAAGTGTTTTCTTAAAGGGTTAACACATATATACCCAGATGTCCACTCTCCTCCGCCTCAGTGGTCATTGACATTATTTCTCAGACACCTCACATGGGGCCTTTTTGAGCCCCTAGCATCGGCAGATCTACGCCTTCTAACATTTAAAACTATATTTCTCATGGCAATCACCTCCACATGACATGCCAGTGAACTGGCAGCTCTACGCTCCAACTATCCCTACCTTCAATTCCACCCTGACAAAGTTCATCTCTCGATGAACATTTTTTTTTCATTCCCAAGATTGTCTCTCAGTTTCACTTCTCTCAGCCCTTGGTCCTCCCATCCTTTTCTCCATCTCCATCCACGCCTCAGGATCCTTCACACTCTAGACATCAGATATACTCTTGCCTTTATGTAGCCTGCATGCAGCCCTTTTGCCATTCTCCTTGACTGTTCATCAGCTATCAGCCCCCCTTGAAGGGGGTCCAAGTCAGCTCCCAATGTATTTCCAAGTGGGTTGCCTCTGCTCTCCAACTCTCCTATCAGGTCAGCAGTACCACAGCCCCTTCACCCGCATTCCACAAGGGCCCTCCAGGATATCTGTGCATCTGCCACCTGGTTGCAGTCATCTACCTTCAGCAACCACTACCAGCTAAATGTTCAGCAGAAGTCCAATGCCTCTTTTAGACATGCTGTACTTTCTTCTACCTTCTACAAGCCAGATTTTTAGTCACCCAGAGTGTGATTCACAGAGGCCACAAAGAAGGACAGGTTACCTACCTGTAATTGTAGTTCTTCAAGTGGTCCTCTGTGATTCACACATCCCACCCAGCCTCCCCACTGTCATGCCCTCACTCACAGCAGTGGTTGAATTAACTGAAGGGAGATCTTGGCACCAAGGTACATATACCGGGGGAGGGGCTTGTCCTAATGTGTCTTTTTCTGATTGCAAAAGCTTTAGAATATTCCAACAAGGTTCTGTGTATGTGCGTATCACTCCGAATGTGAATCACAGAGAACCACTCGTAGAACTACAATTACAGGTAGGTAAGCTTTCTTTCTCTATAGTCATTGCTGATTATTTCCTCCTTGGCATTGTGTTATCACACACTGGAATGCTTCAGACCAGCAAACTGCTAAAACTTCAGCTTTAATAGAGGTGGCCATACTTGCGGATGATCAGTTACACAAGGGCATTTGGTTGGCAGCACCTGGCTGCTACTTAGCCTCTTAATTCTTATGGAAGCAGTAAGAGTGTAAGTTTTTCACACATGGCTTTTCCATTTTGAATTTATTTTTGAAAAATAAATCATGACACAGTATAATATGTCATATTCATCTGGGGTTGTATTTACCTAATTTTCAGACCTGTGAAGGACCAGATGATTTTTGTTATGTCCCAGTACGTAAAACCAAGAAATCAAAGGGGGGTACTTTTTATTTAATTATTTTTTAAAAAATAAGTGTATTCCACCTTTCTCCTTAGAAAAGGACCCAAGGCAGCTTACAGGATTTAAAGACAATATTTAAGAACAAAACACTGAGCATACAAAGGTGACGTACATCATTAAAAGCAATATTTAAAGCTAAAAGCACTAAGTATAGGTATATTAAACAGAACAACTAAATACCCATTAGAAATGGGAAATGCAAGCAATACTAAAGACACAAGTCAAAGAAGTGATGCATAAGAATCCATCTAAAAAGATCAAGATCAAGCCGGCAATTGTAGAATAGAAAGATCTTCACTTCCTCGCAGAAAGAGAACAAAGATGGGGCCAACCTAGCCTCCTGTGGGAGGGAGTTCTGCCTTGGAGCAGCGACAGATAAGATCTTCTCTTGTGTCCCCATCAAATGCACCTTTGAAGAGGGTTGGACCAAGAGAAAGGCCTTCCCTGATGATCTTAGTACCTGAGCAGGTTCATAATGGGAGACATGGTATTTGAAGTAGCTTGGGCCCAAGCTGTTTAGGGCTTTATAGGTTAAAATCAGTACTTTGAAATGTGCCTGAAAACAGATTGGCAGCTAGTGGAGCTGTTATAATGAGGGTTATGTGATCCTTGTAACCCACCTGAGTCAGCAGTCTGGTTGCTGTGTTTTGGACCTGCTGAAGTTTCCTGAAACTTTCGACAGTGCATTACAGTAATCCAACCAGGATGTAATTAAGGCATGTGTCACTGTTGCCAGATCATACTTCTCAAGAAATGTTCACAGCTGATGCACTAGTTTTAATTGTGCAAATGCATTCCTGGCCTCCATCATAACCTGGGCATCTAGGCTCAGAGATGAATCCAGGAGCACCCACCCCCAAGATCCACACCTGTGTTTTCAGAGGAAATATAACCCTATCCAGTATAGGTTGCATCCGTATTCCTTGATCTGCCTTTCAATTGACCAGGAGTACCTCTGTCTTGTCTGGTTTAAGTTTCAGTGTATTTGTCCTCATCCAGTCCATTACTGATGCCAAACACTGATCTAGAGCTGAGCTTCCTCAGATTTAGCTGGCAAGGAGAGATTTGGGTGTCATCCACATACTGGTGACACCAAAGCCCAGAACTCCAGACAGTCTCTCCCAGCAGCTTCATGTAGATGTTAAATAACATAGGAGACAAAACAGAGCCCTGAGAGACCCTGCAGGCCAGCAGCTAATCCCCTAGCGCCACCTTATGTTTTCTCCCCTCTAGGAAGGGCTGGAGCCACCATAAAACAGTGCCACCAAGTCCCATCCCAGAGAGATGGGCTAGGAAGATACTATGGTTGATAGTGTCAAAAGCAATTGAGAGGTCCAGCAGAACCAGTAGAGACACATACCATTTATCCTGTTCCTGGTGTAGGTCATCCACCAAGGCAACCAGAGCACTTTCCATCCTAAACCAGGCCTGAAGCCCAAATGAAATGGATCTAGATAGTCTGTCTCATCCAGGAACCTCTAGAGCTGAGAGGCCACGACCAGCTCTAGCACTTTTCCTCAAGAATGGAATATTAGATACTGCTTGGTAATTATTCAGTATTGTGGGATCCAAAGAAGAGCTTCTTTAACAATAGTTTTACTGTTGCCTCCTTTAAGCATGATGGGATTCTACCTTATAGCAAGGAGTTTACCACTCCTACTGCACACTGAACCAGTTCCTTGCTTGCAGTTTTTATTAGCCAGGAAGGATAAGGATCCAGCAGACATGTGATAGCCCTCATCTCTCCAAGGGTCCTGACCACATCATCATGCTCCAGGAACTGAAATTCATCCATTAACATAAGGCAAGCATGACTGTATATGATACTCATGTTTATATATAAATTGATCTGTTTTGTAGGTCTGAGACATCAAAAAGTTGGAACTCATTAACTGATTCTGAACGTTCCAAAGGATCCTTGGAGTCCATTGCAGAACATGCTAGTAAGTAGCTTTCGGAATATACAGATAAAAACAATTTACTGCAAAGTTACTCTCTAATTAAATCAGTTTAAAATATGATAGCTTCTCCTATGGGCCCTTCCTCCCCCTCCTAGCAGGAATCCTTTAGGATCTGGTAGAGCACAGGCTGTAGAAACAGGGGCAAAGCAATATTTGATACTATTTCCTTAATATTTAAATATGCATTTGTATTAAAGTTTGTTATTCAAAGTAAAGAGACATTATGTGGATCTTTTGAAAGTTATGAAAAATTCCCTTAATGCAGCCTATCTCTTAAAACACCACAGAAAAGTCTCTGTTAAGAGTATGTGTTAAAGTTTTACCTGAATATTTGTATATTTATTGTGTTTAACTCAAACATTAACAAGCTAAATAGTGTATTTGGCTATTCTATTAAAAAGTTGGATATACAGTACATTTTTACAAAAAAATAGATGGCATGGTTTAATTATATTATTGAGGTTTTCTGTTATAATTGAAGTTAGCTGCCTTATTAAATAGCAAATGTAATTTTTAAAAAGTATTTCAGCTGTTTGGTTTTCATTCTCTTAAGATGCTGTCTATCATTCTGAGAGAACTGTGTCTGCATACACTAAGAAATTTGTTGAAGCAGATGTTCGGACAGAGGAACAGTCTCAAACTCCATCACCACTCCTCAAGGCCCCAAGAAAATCTAGAGCAGAGTCCAGTGATTCATCAGATAGTTTGGCTTCATCAGTTCTTTTCAAAGACTTAGGAGATGTAAGCAAACCATGCCAAGTATCACCAAGCAAGTCTGTAGATGCAGCAAGTCTTGCTGAAACAGAAGTAGCTCATAAAAGATCTGATGGCTCTGTTTTTAAAGCAGAGCAGGAGAATGTATCTTCTTTAAAGAAATATGTCTGTTCTAGGGGTGATCTGTTGGAAAAGAAGCAAACTGATTTGACTGTTGAATGTGTTCAGGAAAGAAAAGGGATACCAGAAGAGAAGTATAAAGATGAAGAAAGTGCCATATCAATCAAGTCTTCTCTTACATCAAGCAAAGGGTTGCTGAAAGAAGCTTCCTTAGTTTCAGAACAGATAAAGCCATCACATTGTAGTGATTTTGAAGGATCTTCCTTGAGAAAAGAAATGTCAAAAAATGGTATATCTCTTATGGAATATTATAATGATGATTTTGACAAACTTTCATTGTCTGTTGGAAAAGTCTCTCTGTCCCAGAGAGAGAAATACACAAAAACTCCTAGAAGTATATCTACTAGTATTAGAAGTGAAGATGAAATAAGTGAATGTCTTAGTGACAGTTCTTTATCTGTGGCTGGCAGTATTCATTCAGAAAAATTATTAGAATTGAAGTCTCCAACAGAACTTGTGAAAAGGACAGAATGCAGTGATGTTGAGAGAGAACCACCTCATGTTGATACATCACTTTGGGCTTCCATTTCTAAGTCAGAAGAAGAAGAAGAAGAAGAAGAAGAAGAAGAAGAAGCTTTGGTAGATTTCAGCATTGGTGACAGAGTTCTTGTAAGTAATGTCCAGCCTGGGACATTAAGATTCAAGGGGCAGACAAGTTTTGCTAAAGGTTTTTGGGCTGGTGTAGAGTTGGATGAGCCTGAAGGAAACAATGATGGTGCTTATAATGGCATTTGTTACTTTGATTGTAAAGACAAACATGGCATTTTTGCTCCACCTCAAAAAATATCTCACATTTTAGAAGATTTTGATTACATAGTCTCAAATGAAGACTCTTTCTCCAAATGTAAATTAGATCACCATAAAACAACACAAGACAGAAACATGTCTGAAGAAGAGGAGGAAAATAGAGGAAGAATTGCAATTGAGAAATTCTCACAGCATAAGTCTCTAAAAGACATGTCTTCTGTAGAGGGATCACTTGCATCTGGAGATAACATAAAACCCACTTCTCAAAGAAACCATATGACAGATATTAGTTCTGCTGAAGAACTTGATGAAGAAACAAATATTGTTGATTCCCTAAAGTCTTCTGTAGATGATGACAATATCTTATCTGCCTCAGTTTCTCACGCCCTTAGAGAGGCATCTGCTGTTGCTATAGAAGAGACTTTGGACCACATCTTCCATGACAAATGGAAGCACCAACAACTTTCATGGCAGGAATATACAGAAAAGTCAGATGGCCCTTCTTCTGGAGTTTTGGAGAGGTCATCCACTCCCCTCTTGGACTTGCTAACAAAAGAAAGAATCCATTTAGAAGCACAACTGAGAATCCCATCCCAAGAGGGGGCAGAACTGATAAATCAAAAGGAAAAAGTTACCTTGCTGGCTGACAGTCTCCTTCAAGCTTTTGTGAAAGACACAGTCAATCATCTGCAACAAATCAAGAAGGTCAGAAATGAGAAAATTCAGTTCAGCAACAGAGAATTTTATGCTGTTCAAGAGAATTTGACAGCTAATGAGCTGCAGAGTATTTTCATCAGTTCTGAAATGGATGATGGAGAAGAAGTATCCTCTCCAGAGCTATGTCTGAGGCCTGTAAGTACAATTTTCTTTAAAGACTTTAGATGCTAACATTGTGGTGATGCTTCAGCTACAAAGTGTGAACAGCCGTAACTTTATGGATTACTTCTTGTGGCAACCCTTCCTGCTTGATCTCCATTGTAATATACTTTGTGGTAGAAACTGTTTCATTTCTATAACTAGAATGGTTAATGGATTTGACTAGCAGACAGTCATGCTTATCACATATTGTTCTGGAGCTTTGGTGTTTCACAAGTGGTTTGTCATTGCACTTGTAGGTGTAGGTTGCTTCTGAGAGAAACAAGTCTAAAGCCCTCCGTGGGCTCACAGAACTAGTTCCAACATTTGAATCATGACCATTTGGTTTTCGTTTTTGTGAAATGTATGAGCATGAAATTTCACATACAAATGGTGTTTGCTTACAGATAGAATTAAAAAGCAGCAAAGATTGCCCAGCAAAAGCAAATGGGCTTAAAGAAGTTCTGATAATTCTGATAAGTGATTTCCATTTGCCTGTTCAAATTGTAGCCGCTTCTGCTACAGTAGTAACTTTAGATTTTGTTGATACTATTGCAGTCAGTCTTACTGTAATTTCTTCATATTTACAACTTCTCAACACTGTTCTCAGAATGAGAATATATCTATATAATTTTGATGCATTTTCCTCTTGCCTTTCTGTGTGTCATCACATCATTCTATACAGTGGGATCTCGACTTACGAACGACCCTACTTACGAACAATTCAACTTACGAAGCCGCCCTATAGGGGAAATAAGGACTCGACATACAAACTTCCCTCGAGTTACGTACAGGGGAAAAAGTCCCCCCTCCCTCCCCTTAGAGGCTTCTGAAGGGGAAAAAAGGGTCAGAAACTTAAAAATAAATAAAAAAAAGTCACTTACCAGGCCTTGGTAGCCCCCAAACAGCAGGAAAAAGAGCAGGAAACAGCTAAAAGCCCACACCAGAAGGGAGCCTGGCAGCCATTTTGTGCTTTCCCCCCCTGCACCCTCCTCTCCCCGCCTATCAGCTGATGGGCTGGCTCTGAAGAGGCTTGGGGAGGCTTGCTCAGCACCTAAAAAGCCTGCCTGTGTGTCTTTGTGCTGAAAAAATCAGCACAACATGCTTTAAAACATGATTTAAAATTGGCTTTGTTGGAAAAAAAAGATTACTAAAGTGCTTTGCAAACTGTTCCCTGCCTTCCTCCTCGTTTCCTGAACCTAAGGGAAAAAAAGAAAAAAATATCCCCCTCTAGTGGCAGAAGGCGGAATAGCAGCTTCCCATTAGTTTCTATGGACGGAAAACAGCAGATACAGATTAAATGGTTTTCAATGCATTTCTATGGGAAATGCAGAGTCGACCTAAGAACTTTTCGACTTACAAACTGCCTTTCAATACGGATTAAGTTCGTAAGTTGAGACCCCACTGTATTCACTTATTTAGAAACAGCAGGTATTATGAAACAACTTACTTTTACTTCAGTCAGGCTATCATAATTAGGCCATTCTGATACATCAGCAGGCAACACACTAGAGATAACCAAAGCTCACTGTTTGCTCCTCCCTGTTGCTTTCTGCTAACCATTCCCTCTCTAAACATGTAATTAATGACAAGAGCAAGGAGGAAGAGCTGTTGACATTGTTCTTGTTTCCTGCTCCTGAGGAACAGCACAGATGGAGTCGAGAGGAAGAAGAAATGAATTAGCAGCAGTGACAGTGTGAAAAATGCAAGTTCCTATCTTGCTTGGGGCTTTCAGACTCTAGAACTAATGCTGCTTGGGTGGTAGCAAGCTCATTACATCTGCTGTTAACAGAGGGATTAGGAGACTGACCCATCTCATTGTCTGCTTAGGGAACATCTGAATTTGCATTGAAGGCTATACTTTTTCTACTCTAGAGTAGAAGTGAGAGCTCCTTATATATATGAACAAGAAACTCACTTTTGTACATATCTGTGACAGGGCAGTAACATATCTAACCTAAAACTCAATAGCCAATATCCTATTTTCCAATCCCAACTGGAATAGATCCTTTATAGGGTGGGATTTCTTAGGTGTTGAAAACTCACAATTCAGGAATTGATTCAGATTTTCTCCTATTAGGTGGGTCTAGCAGCAGATTACTGGATAAAATAGGGCAAAGATAGCAGTTCCTGCTTTTTTTCTAACTTTTGTGTTACTTTGTGTGGAAATATTTTTGAACTTTTTTTAATCTGCCAATTTTAATACATTATGACAATAGAACGCTGTATGAGAGCACTGATGTTTAATCCACTGTAAATATTGTAGGGTTGAGTTGGGACTGACCCTGTTTTTTATTTCCAATCCAATTTCATCACATAAAATTCCCAGCCCTAATTAAATTTCAGGACCAAGCAAAAGCCTTGTACTTCATTGCTTTGTACACATAGGCACTATGTTCTTAAGTGTGTGTGTTGAATTGCACGGACTAAAAGAAAGGTTACCTCAGGCAGTCCTGTCTTTGCTCCTGCCTCTTGTTTCTAGGTAGATATGCTGCTGACCAATCATAGTTCCACACAAGTCTTGGATTTCTCCATGGATTCCACTAAAAATTCTGCATTTTGATGGGCACCTCCCACTCTCATCCAGAATGTCCTATTGTTAATAGTCATGCTCAGCCCTTGTAAACTCAAACCTGTGACTTCCTTTATGGAGTCAATCCAACTCTTATTTGTTCTTCCTGTTTTCTGCTGCCTTAATCTATGGCCATTGAAAGAAATAAGGATTACCCACTTGATGCCTCATAATTGTATATATAAAAATGTGTAACATAGTCCAGACAAGGGTGCATGCAGCTCTCAAGTGAAAATCACCTTCTTGTTGTTGTACAGGAAAGCCCTGTGTTTGGTGCCAGTGGACAGGAGGAGCTTGCAAAGCGACTGGCAGAACTGGAACTCAGCCGGGAGTTTCTGAGTGTGTTAGGAGATGACCAAGATTGGTTTGATGAAGACTTTGGCTTAAGTTCTCGCAAACTTCCTCAGAAACAAGCTGGAGAATCAGCTGTACTACCTAAAATAGAGCCACCCAAAGTGCCAACCAAGCCATGTGAAGAACCCTTATCTGTCCCACACACTGTAGGAGAGGTGGAGGACTTGGTGCATGCAGCAGCGGAGGAATTATGGAAATGCAAAGAGATGGGGCGTGATCTTCAGACTACCAGCCTTCTCAGAGAAAAAAGCAATTCATCCAGTGACGATGACATTGAAGCTGTTAGTAAACAAATCTACAAAAAGGTACATCTAAAAGTGGTAGAAGATAGGGAAGCCCAGTCTTTTGAAAAAAATAAAAATTGCGATGTTGTTTGAAGGATGCCTTCAGAATGCACTACCTTCCTCCACTACCCAGGAAAAGGCATATAATCTGGAATCTTTGCCTTGTTTTTGGAGTCCATAGCTCCTCACTTCCAGTTTTATTTATTGGCTTGTCCAGGATAGAGTTAGCTGCTTCTTACAACACTTCGTTATTGTTACTACATTTTAATAATTTCTAAATTTACTGTAACATACAGCTCTGCTCTCACCTGTCCGTCACAGCTGGGCAGGGGAACATCAGCCAATGAGAGGACGGAGGGTGGTGCAGAAGGGGGAGGAGCTGGATTATATAAGGGGGTGTGTGATGTGTGAGGGAGAGAATTCTTGAGGGAGTTTTTTGGAGTTTGGGTGATGAGATAAATTGTTTGAGAGAGAGAGAGAGAGAGATTTGTGAGAGATAGTCAGTGAAGGAAAAGTCTGTGTGAGGTACATTAAATGAAAAACTTGATTTACAACTTGATTTACTACCTGTGATTTACTCCCTTTTATTTTGTATAAATCAATAAACAACTTATTTGTTTGAAAGAAACACTTGTCCTTTTTGAGTGTTAAGGATAGGTTGGTGGCAGCAGTTTGAAGAAGAGTAGTGAGCACTCTGGGAAGCCTGAGTTGACAGAGGCTTCAGAGTGGCCCGCTACATTTACTTCCTCAGATTTTTAGTTCTTTGGCTTTTATTTTGCCTTTATTTTATTCTGCCAGTTTTGAAGAGGAAAGGGGAAAACACTTCTTCCCCATCACTCTCTTTTTTCCAATATATTCTGCTAGTTATTTTCATCTAGTAGTTTCTTTCTTATGAGCTTCAGAAAATAAGACTATTATATAGATTATTCTAGCAAGGTAGTCACATCAGACTTTTCATTTCAACAGCAACAAAAAAAGCTGTCAGTGACCTAGTGTATGGCATCCCCATCTGAATCACTGCATATAATCCTGAAGTTGAAAAAATACAATCCAACTTTTTTGCTCTGTATTTTGGTCTTCCCCAGTTGTGTAGCCTATGCAGCCTTGTGCCTTGAAGTAGGGGTAGGCCGATTGGAAAGTAAAGCTTGGACTCAGTCCCTGAAGGGCTTAGATTACTTTTTTCAACAGATCAGCTGGGATATACCCACTATATGCTGCTAAATTCCCGCCACAGTCAGTGGCAATCTTTCATCCAACAAAAAATTAGGTCCATAGGCATCTTCCCTGAACATATTATGATGCTTGGGCAGAGTGGTCTTAACCGACCAGATAGGCAGGATATAAAATACATAAATAAATAAATAAAATAAACAGGCCCTAAGAGCTCTCACCCAGAGGCTACATGACATAGAAAAGAAGGAACTCTTTCCCCAGACAAACAGAAGGTGCTCCCCTTTGTCACATGGTATTTTTCCACCATATAAGACCCCTGCAGGCTACCTAACCTCACTCTGTTCACCGCAGGCCTGCTGAGTACAGATGCTGGCTAGACTGAATGTGCTCCCCTCAGCCCTTTTTCAGGGCAGATTTAAGGGATTTCCACGCCAAGAAGATTCCCACTCCAATATAGTGGACAAAGGAGAGTGATGGGGAAGAAGTGTTTTCCCCTTTCCTCTTCAAAACCGGCAGAATAAAATAAAGGTAAAATAAAAGCCAAATAACTAAAAATCTGAGGAAGTAAATTTAGAAATTATTATGGGTCCCTGAATTTCTTGTGCATACACTTTTATACTGAAAAAATCAGGAATAACCTAATCTGCCCAATCAGGAATAACTTAATCTGGCTATCCTTCCAGTTGGTTAGTAAAATACTGCCAACTGTAGTACTTTACAGACCATAACCCTTATACCACAGCACAAGTAGGAAAGTTTTTCCTAGCTGCAATGTGTAAGACGGTGGCGTTTGTCCTGATTACCAAATCTCTCAATGCGCTGTAGTCCCTTTCATTGTTTTTACTGCATACTCTTTTTCTCTGTGGGTCATATGACCACAATAAATTTATTTTTATTTGTAGTTTGTATTTGTATTTGACCTAGTGTATTCTAACATTAATCATCATTACGGTTCAAACGCTGTTGTACACGCTGGCTCACTCCTCCCTCAGGGTACATTTTGTTCATTTTCTGTCAAGTTTTCAATATGTTTAGTGCTAGGATTGACACAAAGGGTATCTTATACTTGTGGAGGGGTGAGTAGTAGTAGGAGAAGTTGGAAGATGGAACATTAGTGGAGGGGGAATTCTAGAAACTATCTCCTCAGAGAAAACCACTTTCCATGTTCAGAATCATTGCCTCCAATAGTTGTATTCATTATACAGGCAAAATTAAAGTTCAGGGAATGTAATGAATGTCTTGCAAGAATAAGCATCATGCTGATTTTTGAATGCTAACCATTCTTTTACTTATGTTTTGCCAAGGTTATTTTTGACTTAACAGAAGAGATGTTTGGAGAGATCTTTGCAGAAGATCCAAATTTGAACCAGCCACTATGGATGAAACCCTGCCGGATTACTTCTGGTTACTTTCGACGAGTAAAAGATCCCAGTGATCTTGAGGAAATTAAGGTAAGAAAGGCTTGCCATGAAATGGTGAACTGCTGCGCTTCATCTGCTAGTCGGAAAAGTTGCATAAAACCAAATAATAGTCTTATCTGAGGCAGAATTATTAGATTCACTACCTTGGAGTTTTGAAGGAAATATAGAGATAAATTTTTAGAGATTAAAAAATGCTTTTCTGCCATTTCTTAAACAGAATCTCAATATTTCCAGATTAGATGTGTTGTTCCTGGAATTAAAAAAAAGGAGGAAACATGTAGGATATTCTGTTATAAATGTCATATCCAGCAATATATTCTTGCTAGAGATTTTATTTATTGCTTTGATTTATATATCACCCTATTGGTGCCCAAGCACTACTCTGGGCAGTTAACAAGGAATTAAAACAAATGGAACAATAAAAAATAAATACAACATAAATAGCAAAAAACGTTGTCTAAAACTAAACAATGGCACAAACCAGTCTTCAAAATGAAGCAAGACTGAAGGTGAAATATTCAATTAAGGGCAATGTGAAAGGGCTCCCTATAGTGTTTTTAACTGTCTCCTAAATAAGTACAGGGGAGGGAGTAAGGTGTAGCTCCTCTGGGAGTAGATTCCATAACGTCGGTACCACTGCCAAGAAGGCCCTACCTCTAGTAGCGTACTTTTGGGCCTCTCCCGAGGAGCCTGGCCTGAGAATATGTATTCAGTTGGGCTGATGACATTGGGGAAAGATGCTCCAACAGATAATGTGGTCCTAAATCATGAAGGGACGTGGTGGCGCTGCGGGCTAAACCGCAGAAGCCTGTGATGCAGGGTCAGAAGACCAGCAGTCGTAAGATTGAATCCACGCGACGGAGTGAGCGCCCGTCGCTTGTCCCAGCTCCTGCCAACCTAGCGGTTCGAAAGCATGCAAATGCAAGTAGATAAATAGGGACCACCTCGGTGGGAAGGTAACAGCGTTCCATGTCTAAGTCGCACTGGCCATGTGACCACGGAAGATTGTCTTCGGACAAAACGCTGGCTCTATGGCTTGGAAACGGGGATGAGCACCGCCCCCTAGAGTCGAACACGACTGGACAAAAATTGTCAAGGGGAACCTTTACCTTAAATCATGAAGGGCTTTATACGTGAGTGTCAGAACTTTGAACCTGATCTGGGACACAACAGATAACCAGTGGAGGCTGGCCAGCACTGGGATGAAGTGATCAAATTTGCTGGTGTAAGCAAATTTGATCACGAATACATTGCTCAAATTTGCTTACACCAGCTCATCTGGCCACTGCATTCTGGATCTGCTGTAGTCTCTGGGTCAGTCTCTCAAATCCCATGTAGAGAGCATTGTAATAGTCAGTCCAGGAGATGACCAATGACTACACCAAAGTCCTGAGGGAGCCTGTGTAAATAGGGGCGGAGCTGGGTGATAAGCCTAAACTGATTACAAGGCAATTTGAACGCAGATGCAATCTGGGAATCCCAAGGAAGAACCAAATCCAAAAGGATGTCCAAATTATGAACTAGACCTATAAACAGGAGGGCAGTTTTCTCTCTGTAGAAATGATGCCATAAACATGAAATACATCTTTTAAATATATGCTTGTTCATTCTTATCTTATTTGCCCTAGAATTTCATAGCAACAGAGGTGCTAAAGCTCTTGAATTTGAAAAAGGAACCAAACAACAAAACAGACTGGCAGAAAATGATGAAATTTGGACGCAAAAAAAGGGACAGAGTAGATCATATACTGGTCAGTAGATTTCTTAAAATTCTACTTTATATCTGGAAATTAGTAGCTGGCAGCATTTCTCATTAGATCTCAAGGGGAGAAATAGAAATTTGATCTTTGTATCAACAATAATTTGTCTTTTGTGCTTTGTTTGGAAATGTGCAGTGAAATTGTTTTATTTCTTTTGTTTCACATTCTTTTAGTGGTGCCTCGTTTTCCCCCCAAAATTTTCATCTACTACTCCTTTTGTTTTACATGAAAGGAAAAGCCTCGTTTGGGTTTCCCACTCAGGTTTCCCCATTCACGTTTTCTGGCACTCTAGGAGTCCTAAAGTACTCTTATAACCTTAAACATTCACCCCAAAATCAGCTGCCCAAAAAGGGGGCAAAGAGGGGAAAGATCCAAGATAGAGGAACAGCAATCAGTCAGCAATCCAAGATGGAAGGCAGCACAAACATAGCACACAGTAATCCCACAAGGAACAAATGAAACAAAGAGTACACCTCACTGGGTTACAACTCCTTTTTTTTGTTGTTTAGTCATTAAGTCGTGTCCAAACTCTTCATGACCCCATGGATCAGAGCATGCTAGGCCCTCCTGTCTACCCCTGCCTCCCGGAGTTGGGTCAAATTCATGTTGGCAGCTTTGGTGACACTGTCCAACAATCTCGTCCTCTGTTGTCCCCTTCTTCTCTTGCCTTCACACTTTCCTAACATCAAGGTCTTTTCCAGGGAGTCTTCTCTTCTCATGAGATGGCCAAAGTATTGGAGCCTCAGCTTCAGGATCTGTCCTTCCAGTGAGCAATCGGGGTTGATTTCCTTCAAAATGGATAGGTTTGTTCTCTTTGCAATCCAGGGGACTCTCAAGAGCCTCCTCCAGCACCACAATTCAAAAGCATCAATTCTTTGGCGGTCGGCCTTCTTTATGGTCCAGCTCTCACTTCCATGCATCGCTACTGGAAAAACCATAGATTAGACTATGAGGACCTTTGTAGGCAAGGTGATGTCTCTGCTTTTTAAGATGCTGTCTAGGTTTGTCATCATTTCCTCGCCAGAAGCAGACGTCTTTTAATTTTGTGGTTGCTGTACTTCTGGGAGTTCTCGGTCCACATACTGCTGAAGCCTACCTTGTAGACTTTTGAGCATAACCTTGCTAGTGTATGAAATGAGTGGAATTGTACAGTAGTTCTCCTTTTTAGAAATTAAAAATTCCTATTCCTCCCAGACATTCCAATTGGGTGGTGACAGGTCTTGCGAAGCTGTTGAAGCAACCTAACAAGGGTTTACACAAAAAGGGAACGCAAAAGAATCTTAAAACTTCATGTACCTCTTTGGTAAACATGAACCTTTTTTTTAAAGGCTCTCTTTCAGCAGTCACGAAAATAATAAATATTAAACAAAAAAGAGCCCCTTTCATGTTTTGGACCTTTGGTTTAAACACAGAAGTCCCATCCCTAGTACTTATCCATCTATGCTATAGTTATGGATATGCTTCAACCAAAAACAAGCATCTTTAAATCCCACTATTTTCAATGGATTGTATTCACTGACTTCATGCTTAAACACAGACTTGCTTTTTTGTAAGCTTCATATATGGAAAATACCAAACATTTGCTGGTTTTGACCTGGTGTTTTGCTTCTCTGCTTGCCCAGTTATTTTGTATGGAAAGAGAGATGCGGGAACTTGACCGCTTCAGCTGATTCTGTCCTATTGAGTGCCACTGGCAGATAATAGTCAAGGAAGTCCCTCCCATCTTTTCCTGCACCTGTGCCAGTAAGTCTGAGAGTTTGCTGATTTTGCCCTGCTTGGCCATTAAGCTGCCAAAACACTACCCAGATTCCCTTCCAATTTTGTAGCTAAGGGAAGAGCAGAACTGCCATACCGTTTGCAGGTCAATCCTCAGCCATTTTTGTAGTTTCAAAGCTGGGAGAAAATCTTGTCATTTGTCAGAATATCCAGAGGGTGGTAACACTCTTACCAGGACAAGCAGAGTGAATGTAACTGTTAAATGCTGTCAGAAGGGTTCTCTTTTTACAGTGACAACGGAATAGCTTTTGTGATAGTAGAAAAATTCTTTGTCATGGTCTCTGTTATTCATATAAATGAGTTTTATGCCTCTGTGAAACACTCCACAGAACTTTCCAGAGCTAAGAGCCTCGAAGCCTTTTCCCTCTGCCCATATTGCTCATGCTCCACATATGTACCTCAGTCCCTTTTTGTCCACCGCAACAATAGCATATAAGGTTCACACTACAGCTTAGAAAAAGAAAGTATTTACAAATATGCTTGTTTTAATTACATTATCTTCTTTGTGTTCTCTGATTTCATTGTTATGCCTAAAAATAAGTTAGTATGTTTTTTTGTCATCCCTTACCTTTCCCCCCCCCTTCTCTCATCACAGTTATACTTTAACAGTTTTTCTTCTGTGTTTTTTGGCCTCAGTGGCTTTAATGAAATAATGTTTTGGCTGTGGACAAAAAGTAATTCATGCAGATCGTTATGATCAATGTTTGTGCTGCTTAGGAGAAGGGCATTTGACCAAAAATTGTTCATTCTGCAGAGGCTTTACTAAAGTTATGTTAAAGGTCAGTCATGACTTAAAGTCAGTCATGACTTAAAGAATTGCTGGATAGCTCAGTTGTTTAAGTATCTGGTTACAGAGCCAGAGGTTGGGAGTTGAATTCTTGACAGGGGATGGACTCAGTGATCCATAGGGCCCCTTCCAGCTCTGCAGTTCTAAGATGCTGATGGGAGAAATCACTGATTTACTAATGAAAAAATACTCAACTAGACTCCGAAACAAACTAAAATGTACCCTGCATGAAAAATTGCCATCAGTTACAGATACTTCAATTTTGAAGGGTGAAAATGGTCCTTCAATATAAAAAATGATTGACATCAAAAACTACGTGCCGGTCAAAAAAAAAAAAAAGGAAGAGTACCAATCAGTAATAAGGACTCTGACAAATCAAAGAAACCAAAGGGAAAAGATAAAGCTTCAAAGCCATTGCAGTTGCAATCAATAGTGGTTCTAGTAAAGACTTACTGTTGATTTGCAGAAAGAACCTCATACTGCTGGTTCTATATCAGATGAAGAAGACAACAGACAGTTGGCACAAAAGACAAGAAATTCCCTAAGTCAAAACCTTCCCAAATTAATAAACGTTTGACATTGAGATAACCTTTGCAATAGTGAAGATGTTGAACATCCGATTCTGACACAGCACAACAAATACCAATTTCACAGTCGAAACTGAAATTGACAACACAATGGAAACCATCAGTACCATCTTTTAATTCAGTCTTGCTTCCACTATTTCATTAGCTATCATACTTACCAATGTTCTCCCGCAGTATCTGGCCTATGTTTTGACACTGGGTCCATCAGAACCAAATTTGAAAACACCACTGAATACATCTGCAGAGAACAAAACCATGGAAACCAGTTCATCAGAATCAGAAGATGATTGACAGTATTCTGTAGAATCTCCTTCCCTACAGTGGTGCCTTGCTTAACGGGCACCCCATTTAACGCCGAAATCGCATAGCGATGAAGATTTTGCGATCACTTTTGCAATCACTTTGCGATGGTCTGAATGGGGTTTTTTCGCTTTGCAATGATCGGTTCCCTGTTTCGCTTACCGATCATCGCAAAGCGATGATTTTCCCCCAGCTGAGCGGCGGTTCCAAAATGGCCACCGGGTAAAGAAATGGCCACCCACTGTGTTTAGGGACGGATTCTTTGCTTACCGGGCAGCAAAAATGGCCGCCGTATGGAGGATCTTCGCTTAAAGGTCAGTTTTAAGCCCATAGGAATGCATTGAAGGGGTTTCAATGCATTCCTATGGGCTTTTTAAAATCGCATAGCGACGAAATCGCTTAGCAGCGATTTTAGCTGCACCGATTAACGTCGCTATGCAAGGCACCACTGTATTTGTATCCTCCCCGGATTCAGATGTGGGAGATGCAACACCTTTGTCATCTTCAGAAGACCTTACAAGTTGCAGTGAATTGTCAGAATGGCAACATCATTTCAGTTGCACATAAATAAACCAAAACAAACTGCAAAGACTTAAAATTTACAAGAATACAAATTAATTCAAATTTACCAGTAAAAAATGTCAGTGTTACAAACACTGACATATCTCTTAATGCTGTCATGGCAAAAACTATCTACAGTACCACCCAAGTCAAGGTGCATAATGTATTCTCAAAGGCTTTCACGGACGGGATCCGATGGTTGTTGTGAGTTTTCTGGACTCTTTAGCCGTGTTCTTAAGGTTTTTCTTCCTAACGTTCTGACTCCTGTCCTCTGAAGATGCTGGCCACAGAGACTGGCAAAACGTTAGGAAGAAAAACCTTGAGAACACGGCTAAACAGCCTGGAAAAGCCACAACAACCATCAAGGTGTATAGAAAATCTGAAAATAAAATCCAAGCTGAAGGTATAAATGTCTTGTTCAAACATCCATTGCCAAATTCCATTATTTTTGAAACAACACAAACAAAAATTAGAGGAAGGTCACAAGCAACAACTGCCAATAAAGAAGGAAAGAAACCAGATCTTATACTCAACAGCTGCCTTGGAAATGAGAATTTCAAATTACCAGACAGCTATGTGGGCGTACAAACAATTTATTTGTGAGAAATTCCAGCCTATAATAGCAAGCCTGTCAGAACATCAGAAGTCATTAACAATATCTTTTATTTTATTTGTTTCTTTTCATTTTGAATAAAAACATAAAATCATATAAACATTGAATAAGCATTAACAAACATCCACTAAACATAGTGCCCTCACTCACTGGGACCTGTTGGGGGTTGCAACCATTTACCTCTATGGACGTTTCCAAACTAACTTACAATTTTTTTCTTTTATCCTTATTGACATAGGGTTCATAATTATAATTACCATATAATTTTCCAAACATGTACCTGTTTCTTGCCCTAGATCATATTCCCATAGCATTTTAAGTAAATACTCATTTTCTTATGTTTGTAAATTTGTAATATTTTGTAAATTTTATTTACTGTCCCTTTTGTTACCTTATCTTAAACTGAATTTTCCTTTTGTAATATAATCTCTTCAAATTTCATGAATTCCCTACATTTACCATTTCTTCTTATCCATACATTTGCCCATTGCTCTAACTCAATAATATTTTCTCTATTCCTGCCACTCTTTTTACTTGCTCTTTATTTCCTAATTTTTCTAACCAATCCTTTAACTTGTCTCTTTCTTAATAAATTTGCAATCCATCCTTTCAGTTTTTCTGGAAATTTGTCCGCCAGTAGATGTAATGGAGAAACTGGTGGAATAAATTTTTCTGTTCCAGATTAAAAGCATATTTCTAAAAAAAAGATTTTCTGTATTTTTACTATATTTTATTATCTTGTACAAAAATATTTATGGGGTTTAAATATAATTAATGTATGTCCATATCCAGCCAAATTATTTTATTAGATTGAATTATCATATCTGTCCTACTTTGAGCACATCATGAGACAGAATTCTCTGGAAAAGAAAATAATGCTGGGAAACATTGAATGCAGTAGGAAAAGAGACCAAACACAAGATGGATAGACTCTCTAAACTCATGACTTTATCTTTACAAGAGTTGAGCAGTGCTGTTGAGAACAGGACATTCTGGAAACTGTTCATTTTTAGGGTTGCCTGCGGGCTAAACTGCAGAAGCCTGTGCTGCAGGGTCAGAAGACCAAGCAGTCGTAAGATCGAATCCACGCAACGGAGTGAGCACCCGTCGCTTGTCCCAGCTCCCGCCAACCTAGTGGTTCGAAAGCATGCAAATGCAAGTAGATAAATAGGGACCACCTCGTTGGGAAGGTAACAGCATTCCGTGTCTAAGTTGCACTGGCCATGTGACCACGGAAGATTGTCTTCGGACAAACGCTGGCTCTATGGCTTGGAAACGGGGATGAGCATCGCCCCCTAGAGTTGAACACGACTGGACAAAAATTGTCAAGGGGAACCTTTACCTTTACCTAAGAAGGAGGCAACTTGATGGGACATAACAACAGCAGCAGGAACAACAACATAATATCTAGCATATGTCTTAACTCAGTGGTTCTTAACTTTGGGTAACCCAGGTGTTCTTGGACTGTAAGTCCCAGAAGCCCCAACCAGCATAGCTGGTGGTGAAGGCTTCTGGGAATTGCAGTCCAAGAACACCTGGATTACCCAAGGTTAAGAACCACTGTCTTAATTGACTAGCTATCTGGTATCACCTCAAATTAGGAAGTTCTGGCCATGAAAGCCTTCGAGCATACACCCAGATGGTGACTTTACAGTCAAGTCTGCTACTTTTGGAAAAAACAAAAGGAGATTGGTTCATAGTCATAGACTTAAAGGATGTATACTTCCACATTTCCATACAACCAGAACACCTTACAATTTGCAATGGGACAGAAGATTTACCAAATCAAGATGTTTCCCTTTGGTCTATCAACAGTTCCAAGACTGTTCATGAAATGTACGGCACCAGTGGCAACTGACCTTCAAAGAAGGGGTATCGCTATCTTCCTGTACATAAACAACTGGTTGCTGGTGGCAGACATTAAACCACTGGTTCTTAACCTTGGGTTACTCAGGAGTTTTGGACTGCAACTCCCAGAAGCCTTCACCACCAGCTGTCCTGACTGGGGTTTCTGGGAGTTGCAGTTCAAAAGCATCCGAGTAACAAAGGTTAAGAACCACTGCATTAAACCACTCTTTCAGAGAATGTAGAATTTATTCTTCAGAGTCTATTGGATCTTGGTCTCAAAATAAACATGAAAAATCCCATCTTCTACCTTGTCAAACAATTCAATATATGTATTCACGAAGGCTTTCACAGCTGGGATCTAATGGTTGTTGTGAGTTTTTGTCCTCTGAAAATGCTGGCCACAGAGACTGGCGAAGAACAACCTTCAGAACACGGCCAAAGAGCCCGAAAAACCCACAACAACCAATTCAATATATGCCCTGTTTCCCCAAAAATAAGACCTAACCTGAAAATAAGCCCTAGTATGATTTTTCAGGGTGCTCGTAATATAAGCCCTACCCACAAAATAAGCCCCAGTTAAGTGAAATCTTGCCCTCCACCATTGTGCAGCATTGTGCAGCAACCAGAAGATGACATGACTGTAAAATAAAACATCCCCTGAAAATAAGCCCTAAAGTGTTTTTGTAGCAAAAATTAATATAAGACCCTGTCTTGTTTTCATGGAAACACGGTAGGTACTGTTCTCAATTCTGTAACAGCAAGAAAATTATTCAGTTAGCAAGATTTGTGTTTCAACAACAACAACAGTACATTCAAGTTAAAAAATATATTTAGCTTGATGGCATCCACAACATCATGCCAGAATAAGAATGAGGCTCATACTGGTCAGCTACAACAACAAAAGAGACTCACACTACAAGAGATTTGCTTGTTTTGTCATACTGCTATAGTGGTGGAGAAGAAGAGAACATTTTGAAGTGGGAATACCTTTTCAGCAGCTTCAGCCATCCATCTGTGCAACAACAGACATAAGCAAGACTGGACAGGGAGCTTATTGTTCCCCAGAAGCCTTCCACTAAATGGTTATAAATGGAAAAATGCATAGATTATTCAACATCAATTAATGGGAGTAGTGCTCCAGCATCATTACAGGAGTAGTGTTCCAGCATCATTTTCTATTACACTTGAAAGAATTGGGCTTGTTAATGTCATCTTTAAAAGTATATTTACCTGCAGCAGTAGCACACCGATCTGAGGATCATCCATCTCCAAAATTATTCAGAAATCCTACTCTTTAAAAATTCTCGAAAGGTTTAAGTAATGCCTACCCTGATACAAAAATTCCTCCAATATCTTTATCAATGGCAGAGTTAACAAAGTCTCCCTTTGAACCTATGGCAATGGCAGATTTGAGAGTAACATTCAAAACAGTATTCTTAATTGCTTTGCATCTGCAAGAACTAACGAAGAAGGAAGTAAAAACACATCTTTTAAGATTAGCATTTGATGTCTAGCCTGCCCTGATGTATTTTTTGTAATCTTTCTCCTTGCTGATTTTAATGTACAGTGGTACCTCGCAAGACGATTATCCCGCAAAATGCCGAATCCGCATGATGATGTTTTGTGATCGCCATTGCGCTTCGCAAAATAGTGTTTCCTATGGGTGATTTTTGCTATACGATGTTTCGGTCCATGCTTCGCAAGACTTTTTTTTCCGGGACCGATGCTTCGCAAGATGACGATTTTAACAGCTGATCGGCGGCTTTGCAAAATGGCTTCCCTATGGGTGATCTTCGCAAAACGGGTGTTTTCAGGACCGATGCTTCGCAAGACAGCGATTCTACAGCTGATTGGTGCTTCACCAAATGGCTTCCCTATGGGCAGTTTTCTCACAACCACGACTGTTTTCCCCATTGGAACGCATTAAATGGATTTCAATGCATTCCAATGGGAAAACGCTTTTTGCAAAACGATGTTTTTGCTAAACAGCGATTTCAGTGGAACGGATTAACATTGTCTTGCAGGGCACCACTGATATATGAATACTGTCATAGCTAGACTAAACCCATAAAACATGGCGTGAATATAGTAATTGACAAGTGCTAGTTATAGCAGTACTTTCATAAATTCGCTTTAAATGACCACATAGTTGGCAATTTTTACTGTTTTCAGTTCCCTTCTAGTATGATGTTGCAGAAAGGGTGCTGTAGCCTTTTACAATTAGCTTTTATAGAGAATTACATGCTTATCTTAAATGATTATATGGATGCACATTTAATTGTAGTATCCCTTCTCTCCACTTCTAAATTCTAAGGTGCAGGAATTACACGAGGAAGAAGCTCAGTGGGTGAATTATGATGAAGATGAGCTATATGTGAAGATGAAACTGGCAGATGGAATTTTTGAGGCCTTAATTAGGGAGACTATTGAAGTCCTTAACCAGATCAACGAGAAACAGAAGCTGCTGCTTGTGTGACATCAGTGCTATACCTTTGTAATAGCAATGCTAAGTAGTGGATATAATGTGATTTTAAAATGGACTGAGACTCGAAAATGTTATTTTAGCTCTCCTTTCCCATGCTGCCTTTGGAGACTAAACACTGGAATGCCTGAATATATTTTCCCATATCCCTTAGTTTTGTTCTATTCTTCTATTTATTTCTGTATTTCCAGCTCAAAATGTGGACCTAGCTAGTGGTTCTGGATTAGTGCAAAAGAAGTTGAGGGGGTTTTGCATTCAGTATTCTGCTAAAGATTGGTTTCTTCTAACTTGAGACTGAATGAAATGCTGTCACAAAATATTAATTGGAGCTAATTTTACTACTTTTCCACAGTGAACCACCAGCTTTTCCTAAGTAAGTGGGTACTCAGGATGCTATCAAGCTGTTGATGTGAGAGTTGAAAAATGTTGCTTGCTAAATATAAACCTTTGATCCCTTTACATCTTCTCTTACGACCCTACTGTACTGTATTGGCAAAGCCCTTACATGAAAAAGGCAGGGTTAGGAGTGTATGTAACCAAAGAATTTGCTGCCCAGTGACTTGCTCTGGACTTGTTTTGTATGCATGTAGAATTTCTTTTGGCTTGTTTTAGAACTTGTATATTAGAAAAATATCTAATGCTATGCTAACAGCACTACTGTGAGATTTAAATCGCAAGAATTTACAGAAAGTATCCATGTGTTAGGAGTATATCTGTCCTATAACCATAGAAGTGTATAGTCTTTGTGCAAAAATGTCATCTTAAAAAGATGGGAGGAATCTGTAAAGAACCAAGTGCATATTTTCCACTATAGGATAAAAAATGGAAGTGAAGAAGCACGAACCATCTGAAAGTGACACTAATATGGATATTTAAAATATTATTCCCTCCTTTCCTTTAGATTTTTCTTACAACACAGCCACTGTCAAACTCTGTGTGGATCTTAGTCATTTTCTTCCATGGTACATTTCTCATTCCTTGTTTCTCCAAGGGAAAATAATCTAGGCTTGAATTCTGATGCCTTAATCTGAAATCCAGTTTACTTGATGTGACATATTGAATCAAAGTGGATTCAAAATCTCTTGATGTGTCTTAATTTGGAGACGGCACTCAGAAGCCTGGGAGAAGACACTCCAAAGACTTGCGAACCAAGAGATGCATGTGAGAAGAACTGTGCCCTTTTCCCTTTCATCTCATCTAGTTCTTAGGGCTTCCAACTAAGCATACCTCTGCCAATACTCATTGGTTTATTCTTTGGAACTCTTTTTGTGATCTATTTGCCTTTTGTACAATGACATACAACTGGGATTTCTCCTCCTACACAGGAACTGCACAGTGAAATTTGTTGACATACAACAAATAGAAGCCCTCCTATGGCATTGCCAGCATTTCATTTGTAAATTTGCTATACCCAGTCTTAATCTACAAAACTAAAAAGAATGAAAGGACAGTGAGAATGCTCAGCATGTCTGCTTGATACCATATCTTCCTATATGTAAATCTAGGTGCCAATTTAAAGGAAAAAAATCTAGTGGAGCAAGCTGCTATGATTTGACTGTCTTGTCATATTGAGCCTCAGAAGATGTCTGAACAGATTTTTTAAAGCTGCTGCTGTTTGGAAAGTGTGATGCCATTTTATTTGTGTTTCAGATTATACCATTTCTGACCAATCCATGATTTTTACTCTCCAAGATAAATTGTGTAAACTAAGGACACATTCAGGTACAAAAGAAAATCACCTGGACAAGAGCAGAGATAAAGCAGAAATACAGTTCTGCCACTACTGTGGTTACTAGAAACAATAGCAATAGTGATCACCCTAAAGCTGTGGGCTTGCATATAAAGGATTCTGTAATATTGGAGCCTGATTCTATCAAGGGATAGAAAAAAGCTGCAGTCTTGCCTTATATAAACTATTAAAATCTGCTTATTTGGGTGAACCAAATAATGCCCACCTATTTGAAATGTTCCACCTTTCGCAGGAACATTCTAGTAAAGTCAGATTTTTTTTCTTCTTCTATAGATATTATTACATTGCCCCTGCTGGGTTCACAGTAGAGAAGTCAGATTTGCATTTGAATACGTCTAGCAAACATTCAAAAGATTCTGTTCTAGCAATTGCCTGAAAATGTGTAGTACAAAGTTAATACCTGCCTTTATCATAGATTTGCGTACTCCAAAACATGAGCTCACATATCTGTAAATGAATTGTGTCATTTTGGAATACTTTTTGATGTTTGAGCAGACATATGACTGATTATCCTGTATACTGAAAGAGAATGTGGCCTTTAATTTGGAGTTCTTGGGGACTATGGTGAATCACACTTTATGCATCACAGTTCAGGCTGGATTGCCAGAACATCACATGAGGCTCTGGAGTTTAAACAGATGACAAGAAAATTGTCATCCAGTGTTTCCTGAGATATACTTGAATTATGTCATGTCCCACAGAATTCACATAGGAAACAAAGAGGGGACTTGACAATCTGAGCCTAAAAGTCAAAGAAACAGCTCATAGAAAGTCAGAAAGTATGGACTGAGTTATGTGTTACCATTGTTCCCTTCTGAGATGCACAGAAGAATTATGCAAATACAAAGACCAACAGTTCCTCATGTATAATTTTTCCTAATCTACAACTTTGGGAAGAGTCTCCTAAACCTATCCTGTTAAACCCCAGACAAAGATGCAAGGGTACTTTTGCATAATTCTGATCTGATTTAAAGGAGGCTTGGATAGGAAAAGATTCTAATGCTTTGTGCCCAGGAGGCTTTTAACTGTTCTAACTTCTTGAAAAATAAGCAGCAGGATTTTTGTAACCTATGGGGGTGGGGGTAGGGGACCCATTGATCTTTGAAAATGTGGCCTTAACATTTTTGCAATACTTGAACAAAAGTGTGTTTTCACTAGGAAATTCAGTAGCACAGCATTCAGAGACCACTGAAGTAACTGCACCACAAAGATTTTTTCAATCATTTTTACTACCTTAACAGAACTTTCTGACCCTCCAGCAGCAAAAACAGCTGACACTTGCAAAGCATTTATTTGTAAAATATAGGATGTTTTTTGTATGTACAACTGCTGGTCAACATAGATAAGCAAAACTCAACTAATTTCAAATCTAATGTAGAAAAAAACCAACAAAGATTGAAAGGTTGTACTGTAATTGGAGCAAATTGATGTCCCCCCACCTTTTTTTCCAATCTTTTTATATACATTTGCAGAGTTGTGTTTGGAAGATTTTTCTTCCCTGTGTACTGTATTTTGCAGATACTAAACTGTTCCTGTGTGTTTGTGTGTGGTTATGTATGTAAATAACCTTGTTATACTGGTTTCTAGGCCGTTTCAAACATTAATCACACATCCCTGTGCAGCACACCTCAGTAGATTACAGGGTGTTAAGGTTCTTGTAATTATCAACTGTAAAATAAACCAGGGTAGTCCCTGTGTACACCAGTGTAAATATCTTTGTTAAATTCAGATGTACTTTAAGAGAATAAAATCTATAAATAAACAGATTTATAAATTACCCTAATTTTTTTTTAAAAATTATTTGAAAGGTATTACAATTGCTTCTCATTAAAGCGGATTGGAATGCTAAAGTAGGGAGTCAAGAGATAAAAGGAACAATGGGTAAGTTTGGCCTTGGAGTTCAAAATGAAGCAGGGCAAAGGCTAATAGAGTTTTGTCAAGAGAACAAGCTGATCATCACAAACACTCTTTTCCAACAATACAGGAGGCAGCTCTACACATGGACATCACCAGATAGGCAATACCAAAATCAGATTAATTATATTCTCTGCAGCCAAAGATGGAGAAGTTCTATACAGTCAGCAAAAACAAGACCTGGAGCTGATGGTGGCTCTGATCATCAGCTTCTCATAGCAAAATTCAAGCTTAAATTGAAGAGAGTAGGAAAAACCACTGGGCTAGTCAGGTGTAATCTAAACCAGTGGTTCTTAACGTGGGCGATAATGCCCCCCAGGGGGCGATTTCATTTTTCAGGGGGGCGGTAGAATGAAATGGGGCGGTGTGGGGGCGCTGGAGTGGAAGGGGGGTGGTAGGGGGGCGCTGGAGCAAGCCAAACCTGTGAAGATGGCTGCAGCCTTTTTACAATGTGCATGAATATATA